CCAACATGTTCACCTTCTCTGGTTTAAGAAGCGGTCTTTTACTTTACTTTAGCTTGAAAACCATCCATCGTTTCCTCAATATTCGCATCAAATTCAAGCTATTTGAAAGTACGTACAATTTAAAGGGGTCATATGACAATGCTAAAAATAAAATTTTTGTCTGTTTGGTGTAATGCAATGTGTTTACATGGTTTAAGGTAAAAAAAAAAACATTCTTTTCTACATACCGTACATTATTGTAGCTCATCTTTCTGAAAAGCGCAGTGTGCTTTGATTGGCCAGCTGTCCAGTGCGCTGTGATTGGCTGAATACCTCAAGCATGTGACGGAAATGTTACGCCCCTTACCATATTTGGAAACACACAGCGTCTCCACGACAACAATACTACAGCGAGAATAAAAGTTACGCCTTCTTTCTTTGCGTATACATTTGGGCGGCGTTATGCAAATTTTCCCACACAGTGACATAGATTTGTGGGGGTGTGTTTAAATGAGGCGTTTTAGAAAGGCGTGGTTGAGTCTTAACTTTTAGAAAGAATATCTCTTTGGGTTTGAGACTTTAGTCTTTGTAACTTTACGGATCTTATATATGCACGGACAGCTTGTAACACTCCAGAGACAAAGGAAAACTTGAAATAGCATCATATGACCCCTTTAAATGAATAGCTCCCCCAAAAATGAAATATTTCTGTGGTGCTGAAGAGCTGCTGGAAGAGCTTCAGTGCAAAAGAACATGGAAATTGGCCTTTAGAAATTCTCCTTTTGTGTTTTCCTGCAAGAAAGCAAGTCTGGCACATCATGAGAATGACAGGAGTTTCATTTTTGATTCAATCATTTCCATTAATTCAGGTTTTTAACATTTTGGTTTCAGTATTTGTTGCATCTCACTTTTAGGTCCGTTTCTATTATGAGTCTGGAGTTTAAGCTGGAAAATTATAGTATACAGAGTTTATAATCAGATTGCAAGCTTCTTTTGAAGGTGTTTTATAAAATAACATTTATTGTTATTATTAATATTACTGCTATACAAGTGAAGTTATACTTTATATTGCATTAGGAAATTAAAATGCAAGTCTGCTGTCTTACAAACACTGCTGTTTCCTTTAGAAAACGCACATCTATTACATAAATTACAGGTGCACGCCAATATTTTCATCAATATATTTTCAATCTAGATGTTTTCTTAGGCAGTTTTCTGTGTTTTTCTCATCGCACCTGAAATGATCCCGGCGATTGAAACGCTGTTGTGTGCAGCAGAATAATTTAATAGCAGCTGCGTGCTTGTGTTTCTGTTATTACAGTCATTTCCACGCTGCTACAATATTCTGTTATTGCATTCAATAAAAGCATTTCAGCAAGAGCACAGGGTGATGTCCATATACATAATCATAGCCATAAAGACGCCATTATTAATATGCAATGATACTAATTTCAGCTGCTGTGACTGGGAGGAGATGATTTGTAACTATAATTTGAATCTGACCTACTGAGTCATGTTTTGATTTATTTCTCATAGACGTTCTTTGATATTTAGTTTCATTCTGCATGCGCTGCACAGAGGGCTGAACTGTGCTTAATTATTTTGTCATCTCTCACCTTACCAAACAAATTACGCTCGTATTCACGGCATACGAAATGAAGATGCCGTGTCATTTGGGCGGAATAATGAGGAAGACCTGAGATATGAGTTTTGAATCAAAAAGTCCACGACAGTATTTTAACCAAATTACCAGTTGGGGCAAGTTGTCACATGTTTTTATGCAGTCGATTTTTTATTTCAGTTGGTGAAAGTTGATTACTCAAAAAATTAAGTTCTATCATGACAAGTCTCGGAGGGATTGGCGTGGTAATGTACATGACAATGTTAATGTGTTTGGTCTTGGTGGAATAGATCTGCTACGCTGCTGCTGCTGCGGCAGAGCAAGTACCGAGACTTGCTACTGCCAATACATCCACAACATGCTGCTGTGAGCATGTAAGAAATACTGCTGCTGCACATATATGAAATAACCCCATATAGCATACATGAATCACCCCGTAGCAGATACAGGTGGAGCTGGGGAAGGTGGAGGGTTTCTGAAGTGCGCTGCAGCTGCTACAGCAGGCACTAGCCAAGTATTTGAATGTTGAGCATCAAGCTCATTGGCTGCTGATACAAAATGAACAAATCAGCTGCGCCATGTGATGATGTCATTATGTCAGATTGAGTTAGACCTATCGGACTGCGCCATCTAGAGATTCATGCCAGAACTCTGTATTTGCGCTGACTAATTCAGTTGTAGCCAAAACCAAAACTTCAGAAATATCAACTAACAAAAGCATTAAGACAATATAACATTTGAAATCATTAGATAATACAATAAGTAATGCAAAACATCCCCAAACAAAGAAACAAAAAAGTATTTTCAAGTTAAGCAAAAGCCTGAGAAAAAAATATATGTTTTAAGAGATGATTTAAAAGAAGATAACGTAGGGGATGATCTGATGGATAAAGGCAAAGAGTTCCAGAGTGTATTTTAAACGAGATTTTGGGACAATTCAATAGTAGTTGTAGCCCTATGAAGATAGTTTCAACCGATTTTTAGCCGTATAATCCTCTGAACGCGCACACTAGACGATTCGAGCAGACCGCGAGACCACACACTTGATGATTGTAGGAACGAATTCACAGTGACACGAGATCTCACGGACACTCGCGAGATCAAACATGACTAGAGAAGATAAACAAACAGAGGACAATCAACATTGTCAGCTGGCTCTCCTGCCGTGTGTTTTGTTTCACAGTGAAAAACAAAGTATAACAAAGAATATGGGTGATGTAGTCTGCTTTTGTGGCATGTTTGTGACTGCCAAGTTTCAGCTATAGAAGCACGCAACATCCGGTAAGTGACGCTTGCTTGCTCTCATTGGCTATCACGTCAGAGGCAGCCAGATCAAGAGTCGGAAATATCAAACATGTTTCGAGTTCGGGGACGCTCCGTCTCGATCGGGAGCAGTTAAATAATCGTAATGACACCACACAATAAAGGATTTTTTCTACAAAAAATCGTTTGCGACAAGCCTCAAATCGGGCAACACCTCCCGATCATTCGGGGGTGCAAATCGGGCTTAAAATCGGACTTAAAATCGGCCTTAAAATCTTCTACTGTGTGGCCAGCTTTAGATATTAATTGTTACTAGCATTACATTGCTAAAAAAGTCAAAAATTTAATTTGGTGTAGAAACATTTTGATAAGAAAATTAACTTTTTATGTAAAAATTTAGGGGGAAAAATGTTTCAAACTCTTAAGCATAAAACATAACAGCATTAAACACTAACAGGTCTTTCTATGCACTATAACACATAAAATAACACTTCTTTTCAACATTTACTCCCCTACTCATTCCTATGCAAAGTAAGATATCTACTGCCCAATTTCCAAAGTTAACAAGACAATTTTACCAAGTTTTACAATTAATTTAACAATTGTAATTAACAAAGAAATTTACAATAACACACAATATTAGGTTAATGTAATGATCAACATTATTATGTCAAAAGAACTTAATTATGTCAAAATATCAAAATAATGTTGGCAACTTAAAATTCTAGAATAAATTTGAATTAAATTTGAATTATTTTTTAATTTAATTTAATTTAATTTTTTATTTTAATGTAGCCGTGCAAGTTGTTATAGCCTACATTTTGTTTTTGTTTTTTTTGCACTGCCTTTTGTATATCATGATGTGTTGTTTATCAAGAACCTCTGAGATAGATTAAATAAATAAATAAATAAATAAACAAATAAATAAATAAATACGAGATCTAGCCTAGAGAGAGATCTTAATGGTCTATCTATTTTTTGGTTTGTTTTTCAAAATAGTATTTTTAGAGGTGAAATGCGACATGGACATGTTCTTCAATGATCGCAGTGATTCGCATTTGAGATCCAGCCACACACACACACACACACACACACACAGAGAGAGAT